ACACTTGGTTATAATTCTTGTGTATGTAAGGGCAATACAAACAATGCAACACAGTCTTTTCCTTCAGGCCGCTTATAATACAGCAGGGAGACAGACACAGATCACATACAAAGCCTTGCGAGCCTTTGATTTTTAGAATAGAATTCTGTGTGTTCATCTTAGTGGCTGTCCTCTGTGTGAACTACTTAGTGTTTATGTAACATTCCCCTTGAGTTTTTTCATAAATGTTCTGTTTGATCTTTGTAGCATAAAATTATTCTCTAGAAATTGCACCCTTACTATATATATGAAAGATTTGAAGACAGCTTTCATGAAAATACAGAGAAACAGCAAAGTCAAAATAAATCTGAAATAGTAAGATGAAAGCCAAATAAACGTGGAATTCTGGAGCAGGGTTAGACATAGGCAGGAGTTAATTTTATTAGGAAGCTGCAATAAATGGTTATTACACTAGAGTACTTAAGATCTTCATTGAGTTTCCTAAATCTCAAAGACAAAGTCAAAACAACCATTTACATAGCTGTCATTAAATAAAATGAAGTATATTTTTTCTTAAAAAGAGAGCCACTTCGGCCGGGTGCGGTGTCTCAGGCCTGTAATCCCAGCACCTTGGAAGGCTGACATTGGTGGATCACCTGAGGTCAGGAGTTTGAGACCAGCCTAACCAACATGGTGAAACCTTGCCTCTACTAAACATACAAAATTAGCTGGGTGTGGTGGTGCATGCCTGTAATCCCAGCTATGTGGGAGGCTGAGGCAGGAGACGCACTTGAACCCAAGAGGCATACACTGAGGTGAGCTGAGATCGCACCATTGCACGCCAGCATGGGCAACAAGAGTGAAACTCTGTCTCACACACACACGTAAGAGAGAGAGACACTTCTCCCCACCCACCACCTCAGTATTCAGTCCATACAGGATCTAAACTCAACTGCAGAAACAAACTTTGAAGACACTGCTTTGTGAGGCAGTTTATTTTTCATATGTTATGAGAGACAACCTAACCTGCTCTAAAAAAATCAATATGATGTTCAATAACATAAAATCAAGGATTAAATGGAAATTTAGAGTCAATGTTTCATATTTGAATGACTGTATTTAAATTTTATGCTTTATTTCAAGCAGAAAGAAAACAACCAGTAAGAGATTATATAGGCCTAAGAGATGTTATAGACCTAAGAAGAACCTACGGTGAGCGGGGATGCAGGGTGTGGGTTTTACACCCTTATCATGACCTTAGAAGCCTCTTGTTGGCTCAAAAAGACTGGGAGAAAGTCTATGAAAAAAAAAAGTTTTCATCTAGATGCAGAGTTACAGGAAATTTATTTAGAGGCTAATCTGGAGCTCAAAAAAATTACAGACAAACATTCATATTTTGAAATCAAACAAATTCATGATTAATTAAAAGGGTATTTTAATCAAACTTTACATGACTATTTAAAGGAAAAGTTGTAAATAATTGAGTTAGGTGACTAATTAAAAATCAATTTTTATTTGAAAACATGTACAGGATATTAGGGTATAAGTTTTGCTTGATGCTGCATTGAACTACTTAAATAAAGAGGCAAAGGGGAGCTAGAGAAACATAGTGACTGAGAGGAGAGTCTTCTTGGCGTAGGCTTCTACTAAGTTGAGCAAGTTGAGATACTTTTTTAGGTATCAACTTTCACATAAAATAAAGTGTATGGAAAACTCTAGGGTTTTATTTAGCTCTTCTAGTAAGAGCATTTAGAAGAAATGGGATTTGTTATAACTTGTCAGTCTTTAGGTAGCACCCCGTTATCTCTACTTGTCTGTGGGAATCTGGAGGGCATAGAGCATGCTTTATTAACACTGTTATCCAAAATTCCTGTTACAGAGATGCATTACGACAGGAATGTATACTCCCTTTGGATATGATTCTGATGGACTTTTTTTCACAATTTGGCTCTGGTAAATTGTAAACCAAGAGATAACTTATCCTTGATTTATGAATTCATTTAAAAATATTTATTATCTACTCACTGTGTGCCAAGTGCTAATACAAGAAACGATGTTTCAGAGTTAAAATATAAAACATATGCCAAATCTTAAATATATATTCTTCACTTTTTCCTGGATATATTAACTGACCCTGGAGGTACGGGTGTTTTGATCTTTCTAAATGAGCTCTGTTAATAAAAGTTGCTTCAGTCAAATGATAGCTCATAAATATTCAATTTTGTTTTAAATTTTAAAACAAACTAACAAAAAGAAGTCTATTATTTCCTTACGAGATTTAATGTGGGGACAACAGGTAACAAGTAAATAGGCCAGCTGTACTTAACTTTTGTTAAAAAAAATTTTTACTTATCTTTCTATGAAATGTTAAATATTCTTCCCAGGATAACAGAAATTAATATGATATTTATGATTCAAGGAAATACAGAAGAAAAGTGTGATCTAAGATAGAGAAATTCTATTAACCCAGTTGATCTCAGTGACATTCAGAGAACACTTAACAGCAGCAGAATACATATTGTAACATTTACCAAGATAGACCATATTTTCTGAGCTATAAAATGTCTCCATAAATTTAAAAGAAGTAAAGTCATACAATCATAATGGCATTAAATCAGAAATCAGTAACAGAAAGATCTCTAAAATGTCTCCCATTTAGAAACTAAATAACACACTTCTGAATAATTCATAGTCCAAAGAAGAAATCAAAAAGGAAAGTAGAAAATGTTTTAAATTGATTCAAAAGTGGGCTGATAAGGAAGGGGAAGTTGGAAGAGAAGGGAGAACCCTGGAAGGTTTTGCTGGGGGAGAGACAGGAAGCTGACCAGGAAAATATGACTCAATCTGTGTCCCAGACTTTGATCCAAGCCTCAACATGATGACTGGAATCACCCCCATTAACCCAATGATACCAGGCCTTGGGCTGGTACCTCCCCCACCACCAACAGAAGTGGCTGTTGTCAAAGAAATATTCCACTGCAAAAGTTGTACTCTTTTTCCTCAAAATCCAAATCGTCCACATCCTTCCACAAGAGAACGACCTCCTGTGTGTAAGACTGTATTTGTCGGAGGATTACCAGAAAATGCTACTGAAGAAATTATTCAAGAAGTCTTTGAACAGTGCGGTGATATTACAGCAATTCGGAAAAGCGAGAAGAATTTTTGTCACATTCGCTTTGCAGAGGAATTCATGGTTGATAAAGCCATTTACCTTTCTGGTTACAGGATGCGATTATGGTCTAGCACCGATACAAAGGAGTCAGGCCGCCTTCATGTGGACTTTGTCCAGGCCAGAGACGACTTCTATGAGTGGGAATGCAAGCAGAGGATGCGTGCCCGGGAGGAGCTGCTCCGGCGCAGGCTGGAGGAGGACCGGCTCCGGCCGCCGTCCGCGCCCGACGCAATGCGCTACTCGGAGCACGAAGCCGCTCTGCTGGCCGAAAAGCTGAAAGATGATAGCAAGTTTTCAGAGGCTATCACAGTGCTACTTTCCTGGATTGAACGAGGGGGATCGGCGCTCTGCAAACCAGTTCTTCCATGGTGCAGTCAGCCAACAGCCACGTCCGCCGGCTAATGAATGAAAAAGCCACCCATGAGCAAGAGATGGAGGAAGCCAAGGAGAATTTTAAAAATGCCTTAACTGGGTTTCTCACTCAATTTGAGCAGATTGTGGCCGTTTTCAACGCTTCTGCCAGACAAAAAGCTTGGGACCATTTCTCGAAAGCCCAGCGCAAGAACATAATTTGGCGAAAGCATTCTGAGGGGCTCCGGAATGCTCAAAGTGAGCAGCTCCGGAATGCTCAAAGTGAGCAGCTCATGGGCATCCGCCGCGAGGAAGAAATGGAAATCTCTGATGATGAGAATTGTGACAGCCCTACAAAAAAAATGAGAGTCGATGAACCAGGGTCTGGGAGAGCCTGCCTGAAGATCACCAGTTTATTGACTCACCATCTAATTTCAAGACTTATTGAAGTACCTCTCCCTGTTTCTCTGTTCCCGAGGCTTTTCTTTATGAGATGTACCTCTCAACATATTTAAAAAATAAGAGTCTGAGGGACAGTATCTACGGTAGTATCAATCCTATTGAGATTCACAGGCTCAGGGAAATTCTGATCTGGAAGAGATCTTGGAAGTAATATGTCTTCTCCCTTCCCCCAATGTCCTAAATTCATGAGAAAAATGAATTTTGGTAGCCCCAAATAATAATCACTTGAGCTGCTGAATAAATATCACAAGTTTGTATTGGGTACTTGTGATTTTTTTGTGATTACAAGTTTTCAGGCACAACTTAATCTACAACATACATTTATTTGGCAAATCTGTTGGAGGTAGGATGAGAGATTTTATTTTCTTCTTGTAGTGATTTACCAGTCAGTTGCTTATGAAATGTCTCCACCTGCAATACTAGACTTTGCTAGTGCAGTTAATCTACTGAGTGTCCTAAAGCCATCCATTTCACTATCCTTAGTCCTCTGCCTCCACAAATTGTCTTAAACGATGTCATAATACAAAGCAGTGATAAAATTAAAGCAACAAATATTCAGTGACTTCTCACAATGTGTGTGGGACCATATCCTTTGTCTTCTTTACAGTGCCAGAAAAAAGGGAAAGAATAGCTGACAAAGTCTTAAAAGGCCGAGACTCAAACTTGGATCTGAGAGGGTTGCTTTATCTACACTGAAAAATCCTCATAGCATAACATCAGTTGTGCTCTTCCCTGAATAGTGTCCAATCACGGGTCCTTACAGTCTGCTCTCTGTGCCCTCCGAAATCATAGCCAAAAACTAGTAGATAAACTCTAACATAAAGAAAATAGTAGTATGACAAAGAAACCAAGCAAGATCTAACTTGTACTAGAATCATAAAAATATTCAATTTTTCAAAGGAATACCAAGATGATATATTCAATGTCTCTTGAAGCTAAATCATATTGTCAAGAGAGTTTACATACAAGTAAAAGATTTCTGACAGATTTTCTGTTTTTTATCATTTAGGTCTCCACATGGCTTAATTTACATTTTACTCGTTATCGCTTTTTTTTTTTTTTAATTCCTGGAGTTCACATGCTTCTCAAATATCTTTAATTCTAACCACAGTCATCTCTGTTTGATCCCAGATGCCCCTTTCCACTTACTGAAACTGTCATAAAAGGTGATGTGCAGTTGGTGGTGTCAAGGGAAATGTTCACTAAACCATGCTCATCAGTAGGTGCACTGGAATGGTATCTAGCTTCCTCCACACTAACAAATATAGTTTTGTTGGGGATTGGCTGATGCTTTTCATTGACTAGAAGAACCTAGAAATATAAAAGTCATAGCCGGTTAAAGCGTCATATGGCAATAACGTCTTCCACTCCGTCATGTTTACCTCCAGGTCACTCCCTGTTATTTACCGGCAGTCTTAGAATCTGAAAACAAAACTTGTTTTCTGAGCTCTATACTTTGGTTTTTCTTTTTAATACTACTTCTTAAAAATTATTTTGAAAGATAAATGGCAGTTTATTTTCTATTATTATTCTAAATTCACAAATCATAATTATATACATTTCTGGGGCACGATGTGATGTTTTGATATATATATATACAATGTGGAACGATTAAATAGACTAATATATATCACCTCACTTATCATTTTTTCAGATGAGACATTTGTAATTTATTTATTATCTTGAAATATACAACATATTATTGCTGACTATAATCATCCTGTTATGTGATAAATCTCAAAATCTTGAATTGTTTTCTTGGATAGCTCATGGGCACTCAAATTGAGAATATCCAAAAGTGGGATCATCACACTATCATCTCAAACTTTCTCCATCTCCAGTGTTCTCTCTTTTGGTATATGGCTTATCCATCTGTTGGATAATTGATGCAGGAATACTGAGGAGTTGGGTTTTTTAAATGAGTCATTTTCCTCCTTCGCCGCTTATTTCCGACTTATTGTCAAGTGCTATCTCTTCTCCACATCTCCCATCAATACATGTTAACTCTATCTACCTCTCTCCAAATCTGTTCCTACCATTCTAGTTAAACCACAATATTTTTTCCCATCTGGTTTCCAGTAACTTTCTATTTATTCTTCATTCTTGTCTGAACCATTCTATACAGCCTGAGCTAACCTGATCATGTTACTGTCTTTCTTAAAACCATCAGTCACTTCTCAATCCAAAATTCTTACCATATCTTAAAAGGCCTTAATAACTGTTCTTGCTTGCCTGCAGTTATTCAGTCAATTAGGTCATGTTTTTAACCTTAGCGGTCATTACACTGGCTGCTTTTTAGTTCTTTGCTCTTGAAAAACTGTTTCACACCTAGAGCCTTTGGCATTCTCCCTTTTATCTGACATTTCTGGCCATGTCATACTCATCCTTCAAGTAATCAGTTCTTCTCATGATCTTCTCTCTACCTGAAATGGCTATATGAATCTATATCTGTATACTTATTAATTTCTTGATAATTTGACATGAAATACTAGGATAAATGAAGAAAATATAAAATCCAATATAAAATATCAGATATACAATTCAAAATATAACCTGAAGCATTTGCTCATGAATTGTTAATTCAAAGATTAGTTATTACAAAAGATAATTTAAAATACCTAGAAATCTTACATCTCTTATATGAAAGAAAATTGAGAGTTTACTAAATGATTGGCTCTAAAATGTACCAATATTGAGATCTGTTTTAAACTTTAAAACGAAAACTGCTTTAAAAAGTACCAGTAATAAAACATTCAATCATCTAGATGAATGTGTTTGAATTCTTCCTGTAAAAATTATGTTATAAAATCATTGTTTATAAAGAGACAATCAAAGAGTATGCAGCTGAACTACACAAATGTATAACAGAGGTATGTGAGGAAGTTAATAAAACATGCTTTGTTATTCTGAATTTTGCAATTATATTTGCTTTTAAAATTATAATTTGCTGTACTTTTTTCTATTTGATATATTATTTTTAAAGTAAATTTTGATTTTGTGATTTAAAACTTATTTTCTTAAAAACCTCGTGCCCTAAACTGTGATCATGTTAAAAATATTTTTTTTTACCTGTCCATACCAGGGGAGTCCATGTCTGTACTTTGAATTTGCTTTAGTAAATTTCAGTGTGCTTAAGTTATTTGTGATTCCACATGATCCATACCCAGTTAATTCCAGCCCTGAAAGAGAAATGAAGTTGAACCATTCTGTGTATTAAAAATTCTCCTCCTACTTCCTCCCCAGCCTCACGTCATCAGAGAAAAATACCATCCACATTCTCTTTTCTTTATTCTTCCCAGAGTTTCCCACACTTACAAGCTATTTGAATAGCAACCTGACATTAGCCTCACCTGCACATGAAACAGTACTGGTACCCATAATCCCTCATTCCTCTGGTTTTCCACCCACGTTACTGATTTTCTCATCTCCTCTATGATCTTGCTCCATCTTGGTTTCCCCCTCTCTCACATCCCTGCTCTCCCTCCACAACTTTCTGTACATGGTTGGATTCTTCACAATCACACTGGCCTAAAATGTGCTTGAATTTCTAATACAAATTTTGTTTCCAGAAAGACCTGTCATTTCACTGCATCGCCTATCCAAAGGATGGTGGACATCTGGTGCTTTTCCATTCCATGATGCATACTCTGCATTTTGTTCTCATCAAAAACACAGTGCCATCAAACTCTTAAAAGATCCCTTACTTGCCCTGCATATTGAATTCTCATCTCAGACTTCACCATGGATGAACTCTCAGTAGTACTCCACACTAAGTATCACTGAAACTCTTCCTTCCAGTGGCTTCTAAACAATTATCCTTTTTTTTTTTTTTTTGCCCCAGCTCTATGATACTTATTTAATTATGCTGATTTATTTGTTACTTTCTGTCTCCAAAATTCAGTTGTTTCTGTCCTTGGATAACTCTTTGTCCTGTCTCTATCCTAAATTTAGCAGTGCTAAATGAGCTCACTTTCAGAGTATTTGCACTTACTCTTAAAAAGACATAGACACAATGAGAATGGATTTAGATTTACACCTCTGGTCTTAATTTAACTCTGGCCCTCTTTTAAAATTATCAGCTAAATACATACCCTTGCATTTTGATATTCCAAATTACAGTTAATTATCTTTAACACGTCTCATCACAATAGTTCTTTTTCATCAACTCATTATTCTGGTTAATGGCATTTCCATTTCCCAGGCCCCAAATTTAGAATTTTTGGGGCCACCTTTATTAATCTTCTGACGTACCACATTGTAGCGCATTTTTTCATCTAGCCTATCCTCTTCAGGTCTGCTAGACTTACTTTTTAAGAACATCAATTTATTCAGATTATTCTTCTCAAATACATTGAAAGATATCTAAGCTTTTCAGAATAAATTTAAACTCTTTAGTGTATGATTTGCTTTTCTTCACACCTTAGCACCAGCCTACATTTTAAGATTCTTCTGAGATCAAACACAGTTTTTGATGCTTATCACATTTTCCCTGTCCATCATTAATCTTTCAAAATATTACCTACCTATATAAATCAGCTGAAATGCTATTTTATCTATAAGGTTTTCTTTGGGCTCTAGAAGGTATACTAGAATTAATTACCACTCTTCATATTCACTTGGCCCTCAATTTTGCATTTCTTGCAGAAATCTTATTGTGGCTATGTGTGCACATACACACACTTAATTTCTGTGTTTCGATGCATAATTCCTTGAAGGCAGGCACCATGTTATTTTCATAACCTCCAGAAACTATAAAGTGCTTTACATGAAAGTTTGATAAATGGGTATCACATTAATAAATATTTAAAAATAATACAAACCAGTTCCCTCCTCTTTGACCTTGGCTTCCACTTCTATTTTCATGTCATATGCTTTTTGTTTCAGCTGAAATATTTTAGTTTTTAAGGGTTGTGTGAAATATCCTTCACTGTTTGCCTGAAGAGAAAGGAAGAGAATTTTTGGGTCTTCCAATTTGCTACTTAAAAAGTTAGCTGTCAATTTATGAGAATTTTTCATAGTCATACAAATAAATGTAACAAATGTTCTGACCATCCTTTCGGTGCTTATCTTTTCCCAGCCCA